CAGATTCTCTCTCTCTCTCTCTCTCTCTCTCTCTCTCTCTCTCTCTCTCTCTTTCTCTCTGTCTCTGTCTCTGTCTCTCTCTCTCTCTCTCTCTCTCTCTCTCTCTCTGTGTGTGTGTGTGTGTGTGTGTGTATGTGTGTATGAAAAACACACACTGCAGACATACAGAGAAAGACTCTGCAAAGCAGAGGTGGTGCTCAGGAAGCCAAAACTCCTCAAGAGTCCCTTCTTAAGAGCTGGTAGTTTGGTATTTTAAAGTTGCTGAGGAGTTTTCCTCCCTTACTTTAGAAGACAGACAGGATGGTTGATTGTCCCACAACTGACAAGTCCTGAACAGGCCTGCAACTTCTTGACCATCAGTAGGGATGGGGAGGTGCCAGTGGGAAACAAAAGCCTGTAAAGCCTTTGTTTCAAGGTCAGGAAGTTGAGGAAGAAGCCAGCCTTCCTGGAAATGTGCCACCTTTATTACCTAGCCATAGCCCCTCTCCCTTTCTGTCAAGCAGAGGTGTGAGATTACTACAGAGGCAGCTGTAGAGAGATGGAAGGCCTGGTCTGACCCTGGGCAGGACCAAATCAAATCTATTCACGGCGATGGAGCGTCTTATCACCCACCTATGTGGATGGCCAAAATGCCTGCTTACAAGGGAAGCTGTCCCTTATAAGAGTGGAATTGGCAAGTTTTGTATAATGACTTCCTTAGTTCACAAGGGAAGCTGGGAAGTGTAGTCCTTCAGCAGGAAACTATTAGGAACTCTGACTAACTCTTAGTCTCCCATTCCTCTCCTCTCAGAGGTCACACTGAACTGCTATTAGGGGATGTGGGGGTAATGACTGCTTTTAGCTGCCTTGAGCTGACAGAGGATTGGCGATGAAGGGGCTGCAGTCAGAATGTCTAAGAGGAGAGTCTCCCTAAGGGGCCAAGATGAAACATAATTGGTGACACTGACGCAGAGCATAAGACAGCCATTTGGTGATGCTGTGTATCTGTGGAGCTTGTTATGGAGTGGGGTAGCATCTGTAACATATAGAAAGTGGGATGACCAGCAGTCCTATGATTCCTATTGGAAGGGTAGTTAGAAAACAGGTGGGGACAGTTTTGCTCTTATTAGAGGAAGAGAGTGGGCAAGAAAAGCAAAAAAAAAAAAATCCTCTGTAGGCTTTGTCCTAGGAAATCGGTGACTTTACCATTGTCTAACCATTATGGAAGATGTCTAGGTCAAGAGTTTATGGAGCCTTTCATCTGTCAATTTAAGTTGAGAAGCCGGCCATTGGGTTTCTTTAACTGTAACCTTGTGGAAACATAATAGGACAAGGGTAATCAGGAGAGTTCCTTGAAATCATGGTTAATATGAGTTTTGTTTAATAAAGGGAGGCATAATTTTATAGCTGACTGGATTGTGTGCCAGAAAAGTTTTTTTTTTTTTAAATTAGAATCCTATAGATGTTCTATTGGGAGAGACCTTATTACCAGCAAGAGATGTCTCTGTCCATGTACTAGCTGTAATGTCCAGTACTGGACAATATAGGACAACAAATCCGAATGGAACCTAAGTCTCATTTGTTGAGATTACTACCACACATCTGCATCTGTAAGTCGGACATCTCAGTTTCTGGCAGCCTCCTTTACTTGGGAGACACAACTGGTTAGGACACAGGATATCCTATTACAGCTGTGAGAAATGCTCTTCTGGAGTCAGTGTTATCAGGAAGAGTAGTATCATTACTGAGGAATAGTTGTCCAAATAGCATTGCATATGGTTAAGTATAACATCTGAGGACTTCAAACAAACATACTTATTGGTCATTCTCATCCTGAATATACTCTCCTTCTGGCTGTTTAAGACTACACAGGTGGCCAAAATTAATCACTTTTTCCTTTTTTTTTTTGTCAAGGCCAGTTGATGATCGGGTCCTCAGGACTTATTTGAGTTTGGGAGGGACCTTTGGCTCCTCCAGCTTCTCTTTTGCCAGTTAATTCAACTGTGTGAGGATAAGTTGAAGGCCTTGCCTGACCATTGCTTTATTTGGAATTATGGAGGAGTTTTTCCTCTTTGCAGACTGGAAGCTAGTTAGAGTCAAATCTGTGGCATCTCTGTGGCCTCCCTGAACAAGAGAACAGATGCATTTCCACACTTACAGGACATTTAGAGGCGATCTACCATTTCCACCATTTCCTGAGACATAGTTGACATTGGACGACAAAGGAGAAGCCATTTTCCCTATTAATTCCTCTGTCCGCACCAGTTTAGGCCTCCAAATATTGTTATTGACTGCTCAGAAGGTCAGTTACACCAGTTCATTTTTATTTCATCTGAAATGTTTAGGTGAAGCTTGAGCAGAAATGAATCACTTTAAAAAATAAACCTTGATTAGACACACCTGAGCCTACAAGAAGTCTATTAGCTAGAGTCTGTGGGTCCATCCTGTAGTACTTAGCGAGATCTGAATGATCCCCGTGGTGGTTTGAATAGGTTTGGCCCATACACTTAGGTATTTGAATGACTGGCCCATGGAGAGCAGTACTATTAGGAGGTATGGCCTTGTTAGAGTAGGAGTGACCTTGTTGGAGGAAGTGTGTCACTGTAGGGGTGGGCTTTGAGGGCTCCTCATGCTCAAGCTCCTTCCAGTGTGGAAAGAGAGCCTCCTCCTGGCTCTCTGTGTGAATAATCTACACATGGCTGCCTTTGGATCAAGATGTAGAACTCTCAACTCTCCCCCCCACCCCCCACCATGTCTGCCTGCAGGCTTCCGTGTTTCCCACTGTGATGATAATGGACTGAACCTCTGAAACCATAAGGCAGCCCCAATTAAATGTTTTCTTTAGAATGTTTTGGTCATGGTGTCTCTTCATAGCAATAAAACCCAAACTAAGACAATCCTGCAGGTAAAAGAAAAAGGAACTTGAAAGAGCCTTGGGAGCTTTCGTCCCTATCTTCAGCGTGAACAGCAGGGTATTAGGGAAGAGCTGTGGAGGTTCATCTAACCTTTCCATCCCAGCTCAGAATCAAGAGAGGGTGGAGAGCATGCTAGTTGAATCCCTGTCTTTTCTGCTGGGACTGATCAAGCTTAGGCTTGAGATAGGCTAACTCCATAACAGACTTCAAATTGGCAGTTCAGGATACTAGGCCTAAATCTCTGTTTCCAAGTCCAGGCCTCGGAAGTTACCCTGCCACCTGGCCTGAGGCAGAGACAATGGGTCAGCAGCAGTTTCCAGACTTCCCCAGCAATGGTTCTGGAATGTCCCTAAAGATAGAGCTAATGATAGAGGTAACTTACACCTACTGGAATTCTCCTAAGGTGCTTTAAATTGGGCCTTTGAGCTCACTTGGGTGTCTCCATCTTGGAATGGGAGACCCCAGCATGATGAACTTCTGTAGAATAAACACTCTTTGCTTTTACATACTATTTGAGTCTGGGTCATCATTCTTCGGTGTATCCTGTACTTATACAGGATCATGTGGCTTCTAAGAGATAGAACCTTTTTACATTTTTTTTTCTTTTTCCAATATCTAAATAATGACCTGAGCTTTTTTGCTGGTTTTGTTTTGGTGTTTTGTTAATTTGCTTTATTTGTTTTTTGTTTTGTAAAATATAATGTTAAGCAATATCTATCTCTTGCCTCTGCAGATATCTAGGACTTGGAACCTTCGTGTATCTCAAAGAGTAGCTTAAACACCCTCCACAACCCCCAGCAGTTCTGCCTGAGGGTCCCCTGATTGCTTGTGCATCCTTTTTTCTTAAGAATGTTGAATGCTATTTAAATTAGGAGAGCCGATATGCAAATTGGGGATAAGACTGTAATCTAGGATAATTAAACACAGAAAACAAAGCAGAACAGAACAACATTTAAAAGAGCTCAGAAAGTGATCATGTTAGGTTTTCTTGTTGTTGACCCTTGTTACTGCAACTGAAGGGCTCAAAATTAAAACCAAGCTGAACATAAAATAAAATAAAATAAAATAAAATAAAA